GGTGGTATAACAATTTCTGGAATAATACTTAAATAACATGGAATAGAATATTTATTAATACATTTTTTATGAACACATATTTGACACCTATATAATATTTATTAAATTATATGATTATAATTATGATTATGAATTATGATTATGATTTATGATTATGAATTATGATTATGATTATGAATTATGATTATGATTTATGATTATGAATTATGATTATGATTTATGATTATGAATTATGATTATGATTATGAATTATGATTATGATTATGAATTATGATTATGATTATGAATTATAATTATGATTATGAATTATGATTATGATTATGATTATGATTATGATTAATATTTTGAGGTAAATAAAATAAATATAAAATTTATTTAAAAAAAAAAAAAAAAGTTATATAAAATAAAAAAAAATTAATATATTAAAATAAAAAAAAATTAATATCTAATATTATTATGAATATAAATTATATTAAGTATAGTTAAATAATTATTTTATAAAACAAAAAAAAAAAAAAATAAAATAAAAATAAAAAGATAATATTACCAAACACAATGATAATCAAAGTCAAGAGGTCCATTTGATATACGTTTATTACAAACTTGACAGAAATATGGTGTTTGAGTTTTATATTTTACCCATTGATGTTGATAATTTAAAGTTTTAGGATCTCTTAATATACCAGAAAATGCACTATTTGGATCATCATAAGAATCTTGAAATTCATATTGCTCAGAATTTAAATTTTCTTCTCTTAAACTATAATAACTTGAACCTCTTAACATTACAATATTTTTCTTTTTATTCATTTTGTCAAGTTCAATTCCAGTTAATTCTCTATTAATTGATTCATTTGGATATGCTACAGATTCTTCTCTTTTTGCTTTTGTTAAAGAATTATTCATTAATTCCTCATCTTGTTGGGATAATCTATTATTTGATGGATTCATTTGTTTTAATTGAATATCACTATTTATTGATTTTCTATTTAAATTTGAACTTGATGCTTCATAACCAATTTCATCTTCTTCTAATTCTCCAGGTTCATTATGAAGTTCGTTAATTAAAACAATATTATCATCATCATTTTCAATAATTGATTTATTATCTTCTTTTTTACCTTTTTTACTTCCAGCACTACTTTTTGACATCCATGTACCGCCTATTACATATATTTTATTTTTAAATGTATTTATATATTAATAAATATAATATAAATATAAATATAAATATAAATATAAATATAAATATAAATATAAATATAAATATAAATATAAATATAAATATATAATTATATATAAACACTTTTATTTTCTTTTTTCTTTCATCTTACTATATGATTAATGATTAATATATATATATTATAAGTTATCATATATATACATCTATATTATTCATATTATAAATATTCATCTTTTTTTTTTTTTTTTATTTTATTTATTTATCTATTTATGATTTTATACTACTATTTTATTTATTTTTTTTTTTAAATATATATATAATATAATATAATATAATAAAACAATATAATATAATTTACATACCTCTTTTTAATAATCCTTTTTGATACCATCTTGTATTATTACCATTATTATTATTATTATTATTATTTTCTTCTGGTAATTTATGACTAATAAAAGCACCACATTTACAATCTAAAAGATCTACTTCTTTTACGTGATCGACATGACAAGTTCTATTACATATACTACATATAAGACCTTGAACAATAAGTAAATTACAATGATTACATATAGCAGTACTATCAGTAAAAGTTTCTAATTCCCAACGATGTTCAATTTTTTTTGGAATTTTGTCTCTTTTGAGTTGCTTCATCCATTTTGGTAATTTTCTTTTTGTTAATTTTAAATTATAATAATAAATTAAATACAAAAAAGTTGAAATTCCTAATGGAAATAAAACAAAAGTTTTTAAAATATGTTTTACAGATTCATTGTCAAGATTCATTGCAAGTTTTCGTTTTGTCAATTGTTTTTCTACAGTATCAATTTTCATAAAACTATGCTTTACTCTTATATTTTTATTTATATTTATATTTATATTTATATTTATATTTATAATTTTTATATTTTATTATTTAATGTTATTTGACAATTTTATTTCTTTTACTTTATTATTTTATTTTTTATTTTTTATTTTTCTTTTTATTTTAACTTAAATCTATAATTCATTAATATATTTATCTTTTTTTTTTTAAGTTTAACAATTTGTATTATTTAATAAATAAAAAAGAAAGAAAAAAAAATTTTATATATTTATATTTATGTATAATAATAAATATTTTATTTTTAAATAAAAAAAAATTTTTTTTTATATTATTTTTATTATTTTTATTTTATTATAGAAATATTTATTAAATTTTAAGATTTAATTTGGTAAATATTACTAATTAAAGTTGGTATGCACAAATATTATTAAAATTTCGAATTATATAGAAATAAGAAAATAAAAAGTAATTGTATTATATTTTTATTCTATTCTATTTATTCTTTTTAATTTTATTTTATTATATCTAAATAGAATTTATATAATATTGTTTCTTAATTGAATCTTGTTATTTTTTTTTAATTTTCATTAACTTATTAATTATATTTTAAACATTAAAGACTAAAATAAAATAAAACATATAATCTAATTTACTCACTATACAGTAAAAAAAAAAATTTACAAAGAATTAAGTAAATATAATCTTTTTTTTTTTTTTTTTTTTTTATTGAATAAATCTTAATTTTATTTTATTTTATGTTAGGATTTACAAGAAACTAGGGAAATAAATAATGAAATAAATAAATAATATATATTAATATATATTATTTATTATAATTAACTTTTTTTTTTTTCTTATTGTTTTTAATTAAATATTTTTTTAATTTTAATTAAATATATAACAATATATGTATAAATATATAAAGTATATATAATATTAATATATATTCATTATAATATATAATATATTAAGATACAATTTAATGTATGCAATATGAAAATGTTTATATATATACAAATCTAAATCAAAATAATTTTTTATATTAAAAAATTAAACGAATAAATTTTTGACTTATATTTATCACGTGAATATAATAAAATACATATATTAAAAGAATTCTTTTTTTCTATTATTTAACCTTTTAACAGTAAATGAAATTTTTACAAATTTTTATGAAGGCAGTGCAAAGTATTTTATTTATTTATTTATTTATTTATTTATTTATTTATTTATTTATTTATTTATTTATTTATTTATTTATTTATTTATTTATTTATTTATTTATTTATTTATTTATTTATTTATTTATTTATTTATTAATTTATTTATTTATTTATTTATTTATTTATTTATTTATTTACTTATTAATTTTAATCTTATAATATTAATATTTCATCATCTTCTTCTGTTATACTTAATTCTTCACTTTCTCTACATAAAATGTAACCATATTCATCATCCTCATCTTCTTTACCATTAAATTCTGTTGTCGAAAATAATAAAGAATCTTCTAATTCATCATTAATAACAAATGTACTATTATTATTATATCTATTTTTTTTATTTTTCTTTGGTTTTGTCTTTTGTTTTTTATTTTTCTGATTATTAGTTTTTATATGTAAATATTCATTCTTTACCAACTTCATGTTTTCTGTTTTTTGATTTTGGTTTTTATTAATGAATTCATTATTGTCACAATTATCATCACACCTAATATTATTAATATCATTATAATTAGTATTTTCATCATCACTAATAATAATGACATTATCATTGCTACTTATTTTATTATTAGTATTTATGTTGTAATTATTATCATCTTTAATTATACCATTATTATTATATTCCACAATATAATCATTATTCTCACTCTCATTTTTATTATTATTATTATTATTATTATTATTATCATTATTATTATTATTATTATTATTATTATTATTATTATTATTATTATTATTATTATTATTATTATTATTATTATTATAAATATTTGTTAAAGAAATTATATCATAATCAATACTATTATCATTATTATTATCATTGTTATCATAAAATTTATTAATTGGATTAATTGGTGATAAATTTTTTTCATTTATATTTTCTGGATAGATTTCAAATGAGGATTCTCTTTTATTTAATGTATGAGATTTATTGTAATTTATTGAGAATTTTCCTTTTTTGACATATTTTTTTATTAAATTATCATCAATGTTAATTTGAGAACTTTTTGATGTAGTGTGATTTTTATTGTTATAATTATTATTATGTAATAAAAATTTTTTTTGAGAATTGTCATTATTTTTATATGTAACTTTATTTTTAGAATTCTTATTGAGTTGTTGATTTTGATAGAGTATTGATTTTTTATTTTTTTGTTTCATTTTTTGTATAGCATTTTCTTTTTGTATATTTTTATTTATTTTTCTTTCTACAAGTTTAATATCCAATCCATTTTTTTTAATTTTATTGTTTTCATTCTTATTATTTTCATTTTTATTATTTTCTTTTCTTTTATTAATTAATTCTTGCTTCAATTTATTTTTTTCTATTAAATCTTTAAGTTCGGTTTGAGTAAAATTAATTCTTGAAAATTTTTCTACATAATAAATAATCATTAAATAAATATTAATTAAAATATATAATAAATATATTTAATGTTAAGATTTTAAAAAATATTATTACTTCTCAAATTTTCTTTATTTTCATAAGTTTTTAAGAGTTTAATTTTATTTATCATTTTTTCTTTTGCTTTATATTTTATATATATTTTTTACAGTATACTTGAAGTAAAATAGTAAAAAAAAAAATAAACAAAAGAAAAATTTTTATTTACTTTTATATTTGTATATTTCTCTTTTTTTTTTTCTTCCTAATTTTTCATTTCTTTATTATTTTTCTTTTTATTATTCAATTTTTACTAATTATTGTGTGATAAATTAAAAAATTTTGAAATTCTTAAAAAAAAAAAAGAAAGTTGTTTAAAAAATGAGGTTCTACCGAGATTCGAACTCGGGTTATTGGATTCAGAGTCCAAGGTGCTAACCATTACACTATAGAACCAGAAGGCGATATGAATGGTACAGGATTCAAATAAAAAGAGAAATTTTATGGATTTAAAATAAAAAATGTTAAGGATTTGAATGGATTATAGATATAAGCCACATTATATCTATTAAATATTTATTATTCAGCATGTTTATGCGCCCCAAATCCTTATACAATTTAATTATTATTAATTTTATTAATAATACAGTTGAATATAAATTATACTTTTATTTTATTAACAAATTATATTCTTATCTTATATTATTTTAATATATATTACTATAATTAATATAAATATTAATTTACTTATATTATTGTATTGTTCAATGAAATGTATAAAAGATTGATGAAATATGTATTCTTACATTCTTTGTAAGATTATTAACCTAATAATAATCTAATAAAATATAATTATAAAATAATTAAACAAATTTAAATAAAGAAACTATATTTATAATAAAACTTATAATAAAATTAATATTAGTGAACACCCTACGTATTAGATTATTGAGCATTTCGACCAAGTTAAACTTTAAACCAAACTAAAACTTTACAATAATCTTACCTGCTGTTTTGTAACTTCCTTGGAATGCCAAAGTTCTCCTTAAGAAAAAACACGGGTTATTCTGCTAAATCGGACGAAGAAATGGAGATGAATCAAGAAGATTCAGTTCAACAATTAAGAATAGAAGCCTCACAAGCCTGCAATTCCTTAGCTGAAGGGCTTGAACAATTAAGTAATGAGACTTCCCAAGCTTGCTCAAATATTATGTCTGGAGTAAATCAAGGCTTCGTCTCAAAGGATGATTTGCAATGTTACCATCAAGAGGTAATGAAACAATTTCAATCCTACGAGCGTGCTAATAATGAGATAATGAACTCTTTAGAATCTCTGAAAAAGGCTACTCTCTACTTTAAGCGCGAACTTACACAAAGAGAGAGACTTTATCCTGGTGCTACGGCTTCTACTAGCGAACAACCAACTCCTGTAGCTACCACTTCTGCTCCTCAAGCTACTTTCGATGATAACGCTTCTACTACTACCAGGTTTGACGTAGACAACGACGTTATCATGAGAACAGCTTTTCCCTATACTGTTGCTCAGGTACCGGAACCTGGTCTTTTTTACGGCGATATCTCCGAAATTGAACTATTCTGTCAACTTTGCGGAGATACATTCAAAACTTATCCTTGTAAGTTATGGCCCGAAGAAGCAAAAATCAACTTCGTTCAGTCTAGGTTGCGTGGAGCTGCAAGAAGTTGGTATCAAACAAAATATCCTATTGGTACTATTCCATCCTCTTTATGGACCCTTCTAGAAGAATTAAAAAGAGCCTTTCCTGATGTCGTTAACAGGAAACTAAAGAAGATTAAATTAGCCAATATAAAGCATAATTACGGAAAAATCAATGAGTATATTGATGAATTCCGTAAGTTAACTGCTGATTTAGCTTGGCCTGAAGAACCTTTAGCTTTATTCTTTTATAAAGGTCTTCATCCTAAATACAAGGATGAAATAAACAAAATGGAAAAGTTTCCTGAGAAGCTCGAAGAAATCATAACAAAGTGTATCTTGTTAGAGTCTTCTCAAGAAATGAATGCAAAGATCAGTCAGTTCTCCGGAAATAGAACTGACAAGAAGAAAAATTCAAGTTCCCGTCCGCAGAATACCGAAAAGAAGAACAAAAATACTAATTTTAATAAAAACAATAATTTTTACAATAAGTCTAAAAACAACAGTAACGACAACCGCGTTACTGATGTTCAAAAGATCAGTTCAAAAAA